TCTCATTTACATAGTCCTTTTTACATCATAGTTTCGTTTTCACTTTCTGCTAAATTCTCTTCCATTATTTTTCATCTTTATGGTTATTTTTTCTTAATACATAAACAATATCTTCCATTGCCCCGTCAAAGTTACACCAAATCTTCATTTCTTATTTTCTTCATTGCTATATTTTGCTATAAACAGCATACATTCTCTAATTCAATTTAAGCATAGAGCTCATCTCTTTCAATTTTTTTCTACAATTAACCATATACTATCATTTCTTTATTTCTTAATTAGTTACATCACAATAACAGTCTTTAAAAAAAGAATAGTAGTAAGAATAAGAACATCCATGTTTCTAAAGGTACCTTTGAAATTGTAAGAAGGAACATCATGGTTGCATGTTTGCACACAAGCTTGCAGGTGATACTAATGTGGTTTAGACCTTTCAGATTGTGCAAAAGAGAAGACTTAACGGGATTTTTAAACAGTAGTGAAGTTGCAAAATAAGGGAAAAAAATCAGAAAAAAAATCCGATTAAGAAACTACCTCTGAAGGAGTCCTGAGCTAAATAAAAAGCTATCCATAATTAACACCTGCATTTTGGCAGAGTTTTTCTTAATTAAAGGGATGTAACGGATGGACAGTATGCTGGCTTGATCTGAATATTGGGAGGGGGGAATGACACCCTGGTAAGAAAGACATTAGAGTTAAAATTGGGAAATATGAAACAAGCAGGACAACAAAAGGAGTGGAGGAAAACTCCACAATTAACCCATCAAGCTCTAAAGCAGTGTTTCTCAACCATGGAAACTTTTAAGACATGTGGACTTCAACTCCCAGAATTCCCCAGCCAGCATGCTCACTCAGGAATTCTGGGAATTGAAGTTCATACATCTTAAGGTGGCCCAGGTTGAGAAAAACTGCTCTAGAAAGCCTTAATCTCCCTCTATCAACTAGTAAAATTAAGAGTGACAGAATGGTCATTAAATGAACTGTGGCGTATAGTGGTGGCATATGGTGACAGCAGTTTGATTCTTACCCAGCCCACCTGCTACCAATTCCCCTCACAAAATTAGGCATCCTTTACGGAAAAAGGTCTCCCATTTCTGTTAAATACTGTACGATAGCCAGGTTTTTTCACTTCCTCTCTGATTACCAGTTGTACGGTTTTATAGGCAGTCCTTGACTTACAACACTTCATTTAGTGACCATTTGAAGTTACAATGCCACTGAAAAAGTGACTTATGACCATTTTTCACACTTGTGACCTTTGCAGTGTTCCATGGTCCCATGATTTACATTTGGATGCTTGACAACTGGTTCATATTTATGACCATTGCAGTGTCCCAGGGTCATGTGATCACCTTTTATGACCTTCTGATAAGCAGAGTCAATGGGGAAGCCAGATTCACTTAACAGCAGTGATTCACTTAGCAACTGCAGTGATTGTCAGGGTTCCAAAGAGCATCCAAAANAATTATTCCAGTGTGCTGTGTAAGGCATCCAATTGGAGGTTACTCTGTGTCACTGCAACAAAAACTAGTTCTAACACACCCAACAACAAGCTGAGGATTTCATAATTTGAGGTCGCTTGATTTAGTGTTAATTGTGCCCGCCCCCCCACGCTTCTTACCTGGGTTTTAGGGCCCAGAAGCTGAAACTTGCTGATTTAGGTTTTCAAAAGGCAGTAGTACATTTGTTCTTACAGCAGCTTTTATTTTAGACACTAGCTAACACCTACGTGTGCTTGTTATAAAAACTCTCCTATCTTATCAAATTAATGCCTAAAGGAAGCTAAGAACCAAAGAGTGAATAATCAATATTCTAATACCTATCACAACCAGTCAGATATTTCCAGGAAGTCTACAACCGGGGCATAACAACATTTCCTCTCATGTCCTGATGTGACCCTTTTCTAAGAAGCCGGCATTCAGAGATCATTCTGTTTTTTGTGATTGGTAATGTTTGTGATGGCTCCTTTTCTGATTTGATACTGGCTGGTTCCTGCGGGAAGACATTGCAAAAGACAGAGGTGGGGAAATTACAACACATGCATGTATACATACATACATGTAACAGTCTTCTTCACAGAGGTGCCCTTCTGAGGGGGAAATATAGCAGGTTCTCAACTTATAATAGTTTATTTGAAGTTTGAAGTTACAACGGCACTGAAAAAAGTGACTTATGACCGTTTCTCAGATGGCTGTTGCAGCATTTCCTGGTCATGTGATCAAAATTTGGATGCTTGGCAACTGGCTCATATTTATGACGATTGCAATATCCTGGAGTCATGTGATCACTTTTTGTGACCTTCTGACAAGCAAAGTCAATAGGGAAGCCAGATTCACTTAACAACTAAGTTATTAACTTAACAACTTGCAGCGATTCACTTAACAACTGTGGCAAGAAAGGTTGTAAAATGGGGTAAAATTCACTTAACTGTCTTGCCTAGCAACAGGAATTTTGGGCTCTATTGTGGTCGTAAGTCGAGGACTACCTGTGGTACTTAATTCGTGACGAAGAGTCAAGAGTCTCACAGTCCCAACATATTGTGTAAACTGAACCACTATGGCTTGAAAACTGGATTGCGGTTTATTGTGTTGGGTGACAGTATTCAGTAAATCCTGATTAGCACTGTTAGCCAAAGAAAACCGAGACAACCACTCCATCATCAGTGCCAGGAACCTAAGCTTTTCCCACTTATGGGGACCCAAAAAATTGGAGCTGCACGCGCTCGTGTGCTCACTGGCCATTTGCATGGACCAGTTCTGGATGAGCCATGGCCCGGGGGTTGGGGACCACTGCTGTAAGGTATCCAGGGAGATGAGGATACAGTTCACAGAAGCCTATGCATTTTACTATCCCATCAGGGACTAGTCCTCGAGAGTAAGTGATCTTAGCTGTCTTCCTGTTGCTGTTCCCTCTTTGGAGAGTGGGAGCATTTTGGTGCATACCCTAATAAAAGCTTTGTCCCTATTTAAAAAAAAAACTACAGGTAATCCTCTTCTTACGACCACAATTGAGCCTAAAATTTCTGTTGCTAAGAGAGACAGTTAAGAGGTTTTGCCCCATTTTACAACCTTTCTTGCCACAGTTGTTAAGTGAATCACTGCTGTTAAGTGAATCTGGCTTCCCTATTGACTCTGCTTATCAGAAGGTCATAAAAGGTGATCACATGACCCTGGGACACTGCAACCGTCATAAATATAAGTCAGTTGCTGAGCATCCAGATTTTGATCACATGACCATGGGGATGCTGGCAATGGTCATTACTGTGAAAAATGGTCCTAAGTCCCTTTTTTCAATGTCATCGTAACTTCGAACAGTCCCTAACCAAACTGTTGTAAGTCGAGGACTACCTGTATAGATCTTGAGGTCAGCTGATGTAGTGCTTTTAGGCACGAAACTGGAAATCTGTGAGTTGGACATGAAGCCAATGCAATTACTGCCTCTCAGATCTAGGAAGAAAGCACGAAGAAAACTCTCCTGAAAAACATTGTTAAGAAAACTGCAGGGACTGGTCCAAGCACTCGCCAGAAGTCAAGAGTGACTTGAAGGCACAACTTCCTATTAATGAAGCAGGAAAAAAACAGATCTCTTCCTGCTGGCCCCTTTTAATGGTTCCTTTTGGTGAAGCTGCATCCTTGTTTCTTTTTTTTTTCCTCCAAGGTTTTTTATTTTTTAATACAAATTATACATATTATAGGATCAAAGAGTTGTCCAGGTCTTTTCTTTTACATCCTCTCATTTACATAGTCCCTTTTACATCATAGTTTCGTTTTCACTTTCTGCTAAATTCTCTTCCATTATTTTTCATCTTTATGGTTATTTTTTCTTAA